ACAGAGGCTGCCCTGCTAGACAGTCAAGGCTAATTGGTAAGCCCCAGGTCCCAGTGAGAGACACTGTATAAAAAGCCAAAATAGCAAAATAATATTGAAATAAAAAACAGGTATTGTAGAGATGGCTCAGTGGTTAAAAACAGTTCTTTCTCTTTCAGAGAATTGTAATTTGGTACCCAGAACACAAACTGCATGACTTTCAAATGCCTGAAACTCTAGACTCAGGGATCCAGTGCCTTTTTCTGCATGCACACATATGTTGACACACAAATAAATTATAAAATAAATCTTTTTTTCAAATTATTACAAGGTGTGTCAAGCCTGAGCAACATCAACTGGGAGCTTGATCTCTGGCATTCAAACATGTGGGCATACACTGGCACATGCACCACACACACACACAAGCCTACATGCAAACACACACACATCTATACATACATACAAAACACACACCTATACACATACACACACGTTCACACATACACACTCCTAAATACATATAAATACACAATCCTACACACACATACACCCATACCTACACACATAAACATTCACAGATACAACAAAATACACACTGAACACACACACACCTTCACAGGCACATATATTTACACACACTAACATACACAAATACACACATCTACACATATACAAACACAAACACTTAAACACATATAAATGCACATACCTATGTACTCACATATCCACACATACACACTCAGACCAAAATGGATTAAAAAGTACATTTCCAAAATTAACTTTTTTTGTTAAAATTTTATTGATTTTTTTGTCTTTTTGAGGCAGGGTCTCCCTGTAGCCCCAGCTGTCCTGGAACTCACTATGTAGACCAGGCTGGCCTTGAACTCAGAGACATCCACCTGCCTCTGCCTCCCAAGTGTATTTCATACAGAACATCTTAATCATCTTTGTACTTCCTTCCCCACTGGCACACTCCCATAGCTCCCACTGGAATTCATGCATTCTGTCACTTGGGTTATGGTCTATCATGTCAAGTTATTGTCCCCAGACCTCCCTCAGTGCAAGCTCATCCACTGAGTTCTAGCAGGTCCATCTAGAGTCCTTCCCTTTGAGAAGTTCACCTCTTTCTCACCCAGAAATAATCAGCTGCCAAAACATATACACTCAAAATGCATATACACTCAAAACATATACACTCAAAAAATAATGAAGATAATAATGGGAAACAAAAATGAAAATAAATGAGATTAATGTTCAGTCTGAACTGTGTATGCTGCTATCTATATGTAAGGGCAAAGCAAAGGCTAAAACAAGTTCCCAATCCTGTATTAAATAAGTGTTAATGAATTTTATTGTACATAATAGTAATTACTTTGAATGACAATGTCTTGATATTGGCAATTTGGGAGAATTTCAGGAAGAACATGTAATGACTTATTGCATGAAATATATATTAAAGACTATGAAAAAAGCAATGAATGTATTTTATTTATTTTTAAATTTTTATTGAATTTGTGTATATTTAATACAGAACATCATAATCATCTTTTATACCCTCTTCTCCATTGCCACCTCCCACAGCCCTCCTCCTGTCCACTGCATTTCATGCATTCTGTCATTGATGTTAAGGTAGTGTCCCTGAACATCCCTCCGTGCAATTCATCCACTGAGGTCTAGTCAACCTGTCTAGAGTCCCTCCCTTTAAGAAGATCAGCTCTTCCTTATCCAGTAGCAATCACCTGCCAATAGTTCTTTGCCTAAGGTTGGAGCCTGCTGCCCATTTCCACAGTTCTATGCTGGCTTTTTGTCTGCTTGTATTTGCATAGGTCATGTATATGTTGACACCATTGCTATAGGTTCATATGAGCAAGGTCTCAGGAGCTTGTAAGATTTATTTCCAAATAGTCATGCACTTCCTCTCCTAGCTCTTACAATCTTTCCCTCTTCCACAATGGTCCCTGAGCCCTGGGTGGATGAAATTTAATACAGGAGACCTGTCCAAGGACCTGCACTCTGCAGACTCTTATTCTCTATGCTTTGGCCATCTGTGTCCTTTTGTGTACATGGCCCTCTATTGTATGAAGGAGCTTTGTTGATGAGAGTTGTGTATTCTCTCTACCCCTTGTTCTACTATGTTCCATGAGCCTTGGGTGTAGAGGTTCCATTATAGATGTGTCACCTAAGATTGGGCATTTCACAGACAATCTCTGTGTGTCCAGCTGTGGAACCCTTTAATATTTGCCATCTGTTGCAAGAATGTATACCTCTATTAACTAATTTAAATAATTTATCATTAGAAATTGAGAAAAAAAGAACAACTGATACAGGAACTGTAGGCAACTGCTTACTGCTGGGTGAAGGAAAGTAGATCTTCTTTAAGATCTCTAGATAGGCTGACTAGACCTCAGTGGATGAACTCTTAACAAAGGACATCTGGATACAAATGCATGACTGCATAGGACTTAGCATATATGACAGAACGCATGCCTTTTGTGGGGTCTGTGGGAGGCATAGACAGGGGAAGGTGTCTAAATTTTATTAAGACTTATTGTATGAAATTCATAAAAACTCAACCAAAATATTAAAGGAAAAGAAAGACTTCTTCACCAAAGGACTTTTGGTAATGCAGCTGTCTGTGAGTCATTTCTCCTCGTTAGTAATCTGTCACCTCTACTCCTATAAGTAACCCCTATAAATTCATTGGTTCACCAAAAGAATTTCTTTACATTAAGGAAGATATATTTCAGTCTTCATTAATATTTTTTGTAATGGTTAGAAATTTTTAAATATGAATATAGTGCATTTGTATTAAAATCCACTTCCTTTTCCCTTCTCTCCAGCTTGTCTCCTATCTCCCTAACCCTAGTCCTTCCAAGCTTCATGTGATTATTAAAAAAACCCACTGAGTTCATTTACAGCTACTTGTATGTGTGCGAGTAGCATGTGTAGCCTCTGAGGGGCTACATCTCTCAAGAGATCTGATCCTTCCTCCACCAATTGCCAGTAGCAACTCAACTAGTGGGATTTCATGAGGCCTCCTCTCTTGCATGTTGGGGGTTTGGTTGGCTTGATATCCTGTTGATTTTGTGTATACAGTCAGTTTCTCTGAGTTTACATATGCCATGACATTATCATGTAGTAAATACTATTCCCCTGCAAATGTGATGGCCTGAATGAGTAGTGACTCCCAGTAGGCTTAAATATTTGAATATTTGGCCCAAGTTTGTGGTACTGTTGGTGGAAGCTTAGGAGGTACAACCTTGGTGTAGAAAGCATGTCATTGGGGATGGGCTTTGAGAGTTCATAGCCTTCCCCCACTTCCACCTTGCATACTCTATCTCTGCTTCCTGTGCATGCTTAAAGGTGTGAGCATTCAGCTTTCTAATACAGCCATTTAGGTGTCATGCCTCTCTGTTATGATAAACTCCTATGCTTCTGGAATCACAAACCCATATAAATGCTTCTTTAAGTTGTCTTGGCCATGATGCTTTATCACAGCCCCCCCCATGCTAATTCATAAAACAGTCATCTATTACTGCTGGTTCTTAAATCTTTCAGCCCCTACTTCCTTGACTATCACTGAGCTTTGGGGGTAAAAATACAATATGGCTGTCCCATTTAGAATACAGCATACCACAGTCTCTTGTTCTGTACATTCTGTGCATTGTAAGTCTCCATTTTGATCTCCTTCTACTGTAAAAAGCAGTCCTCTGATGAGGGCTGAGCTGAACTAAGCTATGTGTATAAAGGTATGAACTTAGGAGGCAGTTTATTACTATATCCATTTGACAGAATAATAATATAATGTTCTTTCTTACAGTCTATAACCCACTTACCCACAGGCTTGTGGCCCAGTTAACATACCAGGCAAGAGCTCTGTTTTGTGGTTGGTTACTTATGTAACATTCATGCCACTATTGCATCAATGGACATATCTTTCCAAGTCAGTCATCATTATAACTCGCAGGATTCATAGCCAGGTAATAGAGGACCCAGATAACAGCTTACACTCATCCACCATTTGATTTTTGACAGAGGTCAACAATACACATTGGAGGAAATACAGCATCATCAACAAATGGTGCTGGTATAACTGGATAGTTACATGTAGAAGAATTAAACTAGATTCTTATTTCCCACCTTGCACAAAATTCAACTCCAAATGGAACAAGACATCACATAAGACTGGATACACCAAATATGATATAGGAGAAACTAAGGAATAAATTTCTCCTTAGAGATACTGGAAAGAATTCTGAATAGGATCCTAGTAGCATAGACATTAATACCTCAATTGATGAATGGAATCTCACACAACTAAAAACCTTATGTGTAGTGAAAGACTCCGCTAACACTCTTGTTTAAATGGTTCATTATGAAAGTGTTCACAAATGTATCAATAATCAAAGAATAGTAGGTACAGAGAGACATGTGTCCTTTATCTAGGAGAAATGTTCAAACAGTATCAACTGTCATTTTGCACACACACAATCTGACTAGACTTATGTATTAATGAGTAGGGGACTGGAAAATGGTTCAGTGTTTCAGAGCACTTTCTGGTCTTTCAGAAAACCAGAGTTCATTCACCAGCTCCAGCACCCATCCTCACAAGTTCATAACAGCATATAACATGAGGTCCTGGGTATCCATTGCCCTCCTTTGACCTCTGCTGTGAACATAAATACATACATACTCACCCACATATGCACACATAAATAAAACATGATAATCTTTTTAATATTAAAGGTCCAATTCAGTGGGTTAGGCAGAATGAAACCTTGGCCAAATGCTAGTTAATTTTAGTATATACTTTTGCTTTTTCTTTTCTACCCTCATGTGGTCATATCTAACGCATGCCTGTTGCTGATTTCTTTATCTTATTTTTTATAGTTCTACTGCGTTGATGGAATGATTCTGTCAAAAGACAGATCATTAATGTTCAGTGTTGTATGCAGCCAAGACAAAGACAGCACACAGGTGTCAGAGCATACCTACAAACTCCTTCTGCTCTCTTATAGGAGATGGTGGCCTTGGGTGAGTCCCTGGTGCATGTAAGGATCACTTTCCTGAAGTTATGGCTGGGGATATTCCTCTTTTTATCTTCATGGTCTGTAACATGGCATTTTCAACAATACAGAAGCCCCCCAGAGGTGGTGATACCACGGAAAGTCACCGACACTAGGAGAAACACTTTTCCTCCAGGATGGCTGTCTTATAGCCTGCACATTGGGGGCCAGAGGCATATTATCTCCATGAAGTCAAAGGAGGACTTGATATCCAGACACCTCACTGTGTTCACCTACTCCGACCAAGGTGGTCTTCTTGAGGATCAGCCTTTTGTGCAAAAGGACTGCTACTACCATGGTTTTGTAGATGGGGACCCAGAGTCCGTGGTCGCTCTTACCACCTGTTTTGGGGGATTTAAAGGATTACTGCAAATTAATAACATTGCTTATGAAATCAAGCCCAAGAACCTTTCTACTGCATTTGAACATCTGGTTTATAAGATGGATACCGAGGACACAGATCTACTTCCCATGAGATGCGGATTAACAGAAGAAGAAATAGTCCGACAACTGAAACTTCAAGAGAATGATACCTCCATATTGAAACAAAGTGACTATGAGGGCTGGTGGGCCCACAAATTGATTGTTGAACTAGTGTTGGTGATAGATCATACTCGATTTGTTTATCGGGAAAATAATATTACACATGTGCAGGAGGATGTCTTCACAATATTGATTGTAATGAATGGCCATTATATCCCACTGGAAGTTGATGTGTTGTTACGAGGATTTGAGATATGGAATGAAGGAAATCCTATATTGGTAGAATCAACAATAGAGTCTGTCCTAACCAGTTTTTGCCAGTGGAAGAAGGACAGCTTTGCCGACCGCATTCCGCATGATGTTGCACACCTTATTGTCAAGTATGATTATGGTAAATCAGTGGGCCTCGCCTGGGTTGGAGGAATATGTAATCCTAAATTGAGCTGTGCAGTTAATAGTTTTAAATTTGTATCACCAACTGTATTTGCCCAGACTGTGTCACATGAGCTAGGCCACAATTTGGGTATGATTCATGATGAATTCCCATGTACATGTGGTCGAAAACACTGTGTAATGTATGCAACAAAAGGTGATGGCACAACATTCAGCAACTGCAGTTATAACACATATTATTCAACAGTTAGGAACAAGAATTGTATGTACAATTCACCAAGCCTACAGGACATCATCACATTTACGAGGTGTGGGAATGGAGTACTTGAGGAGGGAGAGGAGTGTGATTGTGGATCTTATCATTCATGTGCAAAAAATTTATGTTGTAAGTCAGACTGCACTCTGAAAGGTGACGCTGATTGTGCTTCTGGGCTTTGTTGCAAAGATTGTCATTTCATGCCATCAGGCACAGTGTGTAGAGAGCAGAATGATGAATGTGATCTTCCAGAGTGGTGCAATGGAACTTATCATGACTGTCCTGAAGATGTTTATATGTATGATGGGAGCCCTTGCAGGAGTGGTGGCTACTGCTATGGGAAGAGGTGTAATAGTCATGATGAGCAGTGTCAGCAAGTTTTTGGCAAAGGAGCCAGGAGTGCACCTGAGAGCTGCTACATGGAAATGAACACCAAGGGAGACCGCTTTGGTAATTGTGGAACGATCAGTACAGAGAGTTACGCACAATGTAACGTTTCCAACATCCTCTGTGGGCGACTTCAGTGTGAAAACGTGAATGAAATTCCTCTTCTGAGAGATCATTCCACTGTGTACTGGAGTCACTTCAATGATGTCACCTGCTGGGGTACTGACTACCATTTGGGAATGGGCATCACTGACATTGGTGATGTGAAAGATGGCACAGTCTGTGGTCCAGAGCATGTGTGCATTCAGAGGAAATGTGTCAGGAAGTCTACTTTGAAAAGTGGTTGTTTGCCAGCGACTTGCAACATGAATGGGGTCTGCAACAATAAAGATCATTGCCATTGCTCCCAGGGGTGGGGCCCACCGAACTGCCTGTTGAGAGGTGCTGGAGGTAGTGTTGACAGTGGACCACCACCTCCAGGTAAACGGTGGTGGCTGCTTTACCTCTTTACAAGTTTGCTGATTCTTCTGGTGCTTTGTGGAGTCTCGTTTTCCCTGTATAAGAAGTGCAAAAAACCCACTGCTAAAGAAACTCCACCACCACCAAAAGCTGAAACTAAAACCACAACCACTAAAGCATAGCTCAAAGTTCAAACTTCGCCAGTCAAGCAAATTAGTGTTCCAGTTGCACCTATATACTACAACGTTCCAATTTCATAAAATAATATCAATCTTTCAGGAATTTTCCCATGTATTAGTTTGCAGTGTCCCGACAGTAGAACTATTGCTTCAAGTGCCAGAAATCCCAAACCAGAAGTTCCAGAGATCTACACTGAGGATCACAAGCTTCACCACTAAATAAAAGGAAGTTCAAGACAATTAATACTTCTTATTATTTTGAGCTATTATTGACGTGTTTTTAATGGAATTGCTCTGCCATAAGCGTGAATTTCCTTTGGGCCTTTCTTAATCCCAAACCAGTTACCAATTTTCACTCTGCTTTGTCAAACGGAGAGGATCTCTGAATCCCATTTCCTCGTTGCTGGGTTTCTCAAGTACAGGCAAAGATTTGGGAGCCATTGGGAGACTATACGCCTGGAGAGACTGTTTGACAGAACTGCCTGGCAGTGTTGCCTGAGTCTTAGCTCTCAGCTGGTCAACATCAGGAACATGGACTCTGTGCATGTTTTCTTCACAGATTTATCTACTCCCAAGCCAGCATTGTCAGGCCTAGGGATACAGCACAACTACCAAACAACCCACCTAGAATTCTGATCCCAAATCTCCTGGTCTTCCACCAAATTACAGAGCTCTAGTGCAAAGTGACTTTGCAGTCTCCTTGAAGTTTAGGCTCTTACAACCATGAGCGGAACCTCCAAGTCCCTGGATGACTATTGGCACTTTCCCTTGGATCTGTCATCCAGGTGGAGAGAGCTACACATTCTAGTTAGCCATTTTTGGTTTCCTCAAGAGCGCGTGTTTTCATTATTTCAGTGGACTTTGAGGGAACTCTGAGTGATATAGAACTTTACCTGACACAATTTGGACTATGATGAAATAAAACTTTTCCATTGTCCTTGACCATTATGGGAACATGTGCAACTCTGTGCCTAGAATTTTGCTAAAATCTATAAAGAGAAAATAATAGCCCTGGCCAGTGGACTCTGTCAATTATACTTACAACATGGGATCATGAATATATTTGCAGTTCTATGTTGAATAAAATAAGTATTAGCAAGTCATATTTCCTTTGGAAATAAAACCCACACATCTCAGTTAATCTTTGAATCTATATTTTATCTTATTTAAAAAATAATTTAGTTACTATTTTTTTTATTTTTGTGTATGAGTGTATTGCCTGAAGGTAGGTTGGTGCACCTGTGTCATGCAATACCCAGGGAGGTCAGAAGATGGTGTCAGATTACCCTGGAACTGGAGTTGTGAATTGTTGTTAGCTAGCATGTGGGTGCTGGGAGGAGAACCTGGGTCCTCTGCAAGGGCAGCCTGTGTTCTTAACTGCTGAACTATCTCAATAACTCCTAAATCTATGTTTTAAAGGAAGACAAGACTGTGGTAAAACAAAACAAAACAAAACAAAAACATGACTACATAAAAGAATATTTCAAATATAGAAAACCATTCTGAAACCAGCTAATTTTCCCCCCTCATGTTCACTAGCTAATGCATGAGCTGGGGATGCTCAGTCAAGAAGAGAACCGCTCTTCAGCTAGAAAGTCCAATTCTCTAAGTCCTGCACATGACTGTTATATGTAAGTTAGAAAATTGGGAGCCTTCAATTCCTTAACACTTTTCCTCAAGTTACAGTTTGTGATTTTAAATCTTTATTGGTAAATGATAGCATGTATTTCAACAGTAAAATCTGAATTCATGTGTGTGTGTGTATGTGTGTGTGTGTGTGTGTGTGTGTGTGTGAGAGAGAGAGAGAGAGAGAGATAGAGAGAGAGAGAGAGAGAGAGAGATCCGGTTAAGGCAGGTTAAGGTAATTGGCTTTTATTCTGTTCTCACTGTAACATTTTCTCCAATAACCAAACTTTCACTGTTTTCCCCTTCCTCCCATTTCCATCCAGGATCTGGTAAGCACTATTTTACATTCAACTTTTACGAGACAAACTAGTTTACATTCCATAAGTGGGTGGGATCGTGTGATATCCATCCTGCTCCCAACATATTTTATGACACTGACCTCCTTCAGCCTCAGTCGTATGTTGCACAAGAGAAATTTTCACTCTTCATGGCTAATGGTATTCCATTGTGTATATGTGGAATATTTTCTTAATTCATTGACATGAATTTCAAAGTTGATTCCTTTGCTTGGTATTATAAATAGGGCTACAAGAAACACAAGAGTACAGTTGTAGGTTCTATGTATCGATTTAATTTACTTTACATATATAGTAATTGAAGAATGATTAAGTAATATTATAGTCCTATTTTCAAGGCTTTTTTTGTTTTTGTTTGTTTTGTTGCTGTTTTTGCAATACTAAGGTTCAAACCATATACCTTGGCCTTGTAAGGCCTGTGTTCTACCGTTGAATTTAGTTCCTTGGTCTTGAATTTTTAGTGTATTAAGGAAGTAATATATTCTTTTACCACTGTCTGTGCTATTTACATTCCCACCATCAACATGTGATGGTTCCCATCCTCTAAATTCTTACAGTATTTGTAATATTTTTAAAGATTTTATTCACTCTTTGATTAAGGTATGTGTGTATATAAAGTGTAGTGATCACATCACTCCCTATTTCCCTCACTTGTATGCCCTCCAATGCTTAGTGAGCTTCTTTCCAACAAGTTCCACCCCTGCTTCTATGTCTTTTACGTTAGGTTGTGACCCACTGAGGTTAGCTAAGATTGCTTAAGTGAGTATGAGTGCATGTTTTACTGGAAGCATGGGCACATTTCTAGTGGCTACACCACTGGGGAAGATGATTCCCATTTCCACAGCAACAATTAACTGTCATTAGGCCCTCAGGGTTGAGTGGAACCTCCTAAGTCCCCATCCTATCTAGGGTGGAATACTGGTAGACCAAATCTTGTGCAAGTCTTGGGCAGATACAGCTGCTGTGAGTTCAAATGTACAACACTCATATCAGGCATAGCAGGCATAATTTCATACCCCTCCTTCCTTCTTCTGCCTCTTTTGTGTAACAATTTTCTCTGATTAGTAACATTCCCTTCATGAAGGAGAGGATAGGCTCATCAGACTCAAGAGGGTAAACAAATTTCACATCTCTTAAGTTTACAAAGATGTAGTAAAGTCATTCTCTAAGATTTATATATACAACAACCAACTATGGCAGGACTTGACTCTAAGCCCGTGAGTTGCCAACTGAGTTTTTCCTTTAGAGATTCACAAACATATGACTGTGATATTTACTCATGGAGATAACTGGCTCTGTTCCATGGTGTAGAGACAGTTGAGGCTGTCTCTGCCTAGTTCCTGGTGCTGGGGTTGGTCCCAGCAGGACTCTGTGATGGCTCCAGCGCTATTTGGACCTTGTACTTCACTGGCATGTTATGCTTCTGGGCTCCTTTTGGGGCCTACCAAGGGCCATCTTAGAAGTGTTGATCACTGGATGCCCCTTCTACAATATCCTTAGTGGTGCAGATCCTACAGGAAATTTCCTGGAACATGCCCTAAGTTAGGTATCCTGGCATTCACAGAAGTGGTGGTTGTAATGGAGGCAAGGAGTCTGATTCTAGGGAAGTTCTTTGAGGTGATAAGAGAGTGGATCATGGACATGGGAGAAAAACAGCTGGCACAGTGATATAATGTTTCTGTTTCATTTGTTTTACTAACTATAATCTGCTACTTCATCTGGTATGGCTTCTAAACTCACATCTTTCCCTCCAAATCTCTGCATTTATTTATTTATTTATTTATATTATTTTTTGCTTTTTTGTGAAGGCCCACGGTAGCTGGTATGAGGCAATATCATGATTTTGATCTAATTTTCCTGATGATTAGTGAAATGTGTATCCTCTTTATGCTAATGAATATTGCCATATCTTCCCAGAACTAATCTATTCAGATCATTTGTCCCCTTTTGAATAAGATTATTTATATTTTCATTGAGTTCTTTGAGTCACCTATGGATTTGGTATATTAATTTCTTCTCAGAGTTATAATTTGAAAACAATTTTCTCCTGTCCTACAACATCTAATTGTTGAGTTTTATTGATTTGCAGAAAATTGATACATACACACACACACACACATACACACCCACACATACACACACACTCATACACACACCACACATACATACACACACACTCATACACACACACACACACACACACACACACACACAATGCTCCAATTGTGGATATATCTCTGTTTCTACTCTTATTTTTCCTGCATTGGAGGTCTTATATAAAAATACTTGGTGCTCAGACTAATGCTATGCAACATGTATGTTCCCTGTGTTTCCTTTTAGTCTCATCATGTGAAAACTTGTATACCTACTTTTCCCAGCACCAGTTTTTGAAGAGATCATTACTTTCCTACTTTGTTCTTGGCAACTTTGTCAAAAATCAATCAACTGTACGTGTAGTTTTATGTCTAGGCACTCTATTCTGTTCCACTGACGCATGCGTCACTGTGGTAACACTGTTTTTGTTCAGTTTCTTTTTCTTTATATTATCTTTTGACGTCAAATAGAGTAATGTATCCCCCTTTTAAAAATATTTTATTTATTTTATTTTTAATGTGTATGAGTATATTGCCTGAATGTGTGTAAGTTAACCTGTGTCATGCAACGCCTGAGGAGGTCAAAAGAAGGCGTCAGATCCCCTGGAACTGGAGTTACAGGCAGTTATCATCCTCCACGTGGGTTCTGGGAATCTAACTTGGGTCCTCTACAAGAGTCGTCAGTGCTCTTAACTGCTGAGCCATCTCTCCAGCCCCTGAAATTATTTTCTTTTTTTTTTTAAAAATTATTTATTTTATAACTACATACTTAGAAGAAGCATTCCATTACAACAGCATTGACATATTCAATAACAATTTCCAGAGCTAAGATGCATCACTTCAAAATTGGCTGTAAATTTTTAGGTTTACAGTTGAATTATTACAGTTATAAAATACTGTAATCAGTATAAACCCTATAAGACATAAA